ATAAATATATTTTATGTTTTGTTTGTTAATAGTTACTATGTAGTAAAAATGCCAATGTCAATTTAGTTGACAAAGATGGTGATACATATCTCTATGAAGCTTTAAGACATCATACATTATTACAATTAAAACAATTACAAGATGTTGGAGATAGTGAAAGAGTTTGTAGTCATTTAAGAATAAATTATTATTTAAACTAATATTGGTATCAATACTAATGTCATCGGATAATGTAAACTATGCAGTAATATTAGTTCGTTTACAATAATAATTACAAGAAATTCGCGAACAAGTTTACTGTCTAATATATGTATATGAATCGATTAAAAATGCTGGTCTTCTTATATGGTCACGATGTATGTCAAAACTGTGATGATCGTCTACAAGAATGTCCAATATATTGAAAAACCAATTGAAAAATCTGTTATTTTATATATATAGGATAAAAAAAGTAATTAGTTTTTCTATATATGCGCAATATTTTTCTTTGGTTTTGCATTTACTTTTATTGTACAACGAATAATTAAAAGAAAAAAAGATGAACTGTGTCTTAATGTTAGTATGAATGTTTTAACTACTAGATTGTTTAATATATTTTAGAATGTTTGAATAAATTAATTATTGGTTGGAGTTGAATTATTACTTGTTAGTTCGTCGATCATTTGTTGAATATTTTGTTCGGGCGATAACATTAGTATCTAAATTATGAATAAAAAAATTTGATAAATGATTAATATAATTATCAACAAGTCGTATTCTAGAGTGTTCTATTTAGAAGGCTTCCATATGTTAAAATGAAATAGGAAATCTGCGAATGACTGTGTCAATCAATATCGAAATTTATTAAACTAATCATTCACTCTTAACTGACCGTGTCTACAGTGGATATAGGATCAATAAAGTAGAGAATCGTTTCTTTTTCTTTTCAATGATCACAGCTGATAAATAAAGATTAGAACTATTATAATTTCTGATTTATCAAGCAAGTTTTCCAGTAATTAACGAGAATAGACCATTCGGTAAATAGGAGATATCTATAGTATATTTTCTACTAGACTCTCCGAAAAATGATGAATAATTGGAATATGTATGTAATCATAATCGAAATTAACGTGACTAAGGCTTCTTCATGTTATTTTCGCTCATAGTTTGAATAAATTGACTTATTTTTTGATTCTATCTTATTATTAAAGTTGAAGTTTGAAAAAGTGGACGAAATTTATTTTTCATTTTAAATATGAAGTAAATATTATTATCAAATAAATTTAGAGACGGTTATTTCTCTCCGACTTATTACGACTCCTATTCGGGTGAAATACAATGATTTTTCACAATTAGTAGCTACAAAATATATTCCATCATATGGTATTAAAAAAAGCTGATAGAAAAAGAAAACTTTTAATTTATTCTTTATAAAATCAGAATATTTAGAATTAAAATATTTATCGTCTCAAAATATTGATAACAAATTAAAATTATTTTTTTCGTCTTATTCCAAAACTCATAGAAAATTAGTATTCTACACCTCATTTGATGGTATTGGTTGTTGAATAGAATTTGTAGTTGGTTGATTTAAATTTCCATTCGATAAATGCCAACCATGCATTTGATTCAAAACGACTTGTGACATATTATCAATACCATTTGTTGCGGGAACCTGGAATTGTTGTGTTTGTTGTGTCAATGATGATGGTGATGGACTTGTATTATTTGGTAGGTAATGAATTACCGACGGTGATGTTCGTCGTTGATCCTGATATCGTGCTTGTGGCTGCTGTTGTAGCATTACCTGTTGAAGTTGCATCCGTGGCTCTTGTTTTTGATAAGCCTGTGGTTGTTGTTGTTGATAAACCTGTGGTTGTTGTTGTTGTTGATGATATAATGGCCGGTGTAGTGGTTGTTGAAATGATATTTGTGGGGATGGTCGTTGTTGCGAAATAATTATTGGACTAGGCGGCTGATATGATAACGGTGGTGTTTGATATTGTACCTGTGGTTGTTGTAATATTTGTTGTGATGGTCCTACTGGAGTCACTAGATTTTGAACACCATATCGACGCATGACCTCTTCGGCAATATTCGGTTGAGAAAGAATATATTTTAATATAGCTTCTGGATTATTTACATATGAAGTTTGTTGTGATTGTTGTTGTTGTTGTTGTGATCGATCAGATGGAGATGAAACATTTTGTGGTGATGAAACATTCTGTGGTGATGAAACATTCTGTGGTGATGCAACATTATTATTTGAACTGTCATATGGTATAGACATATACTCATGAACACTTATTGTATCAGAACTCTAAAGAAAAATTATTATTAGTATTTCAAAATAAAGTAATTAGTATTTCTACATGTTCGTTATCAAATAGATATGATGTCATTGGAAGCAATGATGCTATTGAATCTGAAAAAAGAAAAAATATAATTGTATATTTAAAAATTTCGATTTAACAGTTTACTTGGACTGAGTGGAAAAAGATCAGTAAAACTTTGTCTACGATTATCACAGCCATCTTCATCAGTATTTCCATCATTAGCACTAATTTCAAATAAAGAAAATTAATGTAATAATAATGAATTTAATTTACTTATCAATAAGATCTGTAATTGGTTTATATTTTTCATCATTTTTCAATATTTCTTGTAATCGTTTATCTAAATTGATATTTTCAAAAAAACTTAAAATTATATTTATTATGTCGTCTTATTTAACTTACGATAATATTTTGAAAATTCACTAAATGATAAATAAGCTTTATCATTTTTTCTATCATCAAAATTTGATAAAATATGTATACGATTAGCATTTTCTGTATGAGCTGATGATACAAATTTGCTAATATCAGTTACTAGTGTACTAGAATCAAATGTACGATTTTGTAATTTTTTTGTACGATCTAAAACATAAGATCTTGTAAATACGAATTCAATTATTAAGAACAAACCATTATAAATATCAACACGAATAGCACATGCAGGAAGTCTGACTGGTCTGATACCTGTTGACGATGTTGAAACAGTAGTATAATCAATTCGAATTGAATTAAAACGAAGTGCAATTATTGGTGAACTAGAAACAGATGATTGAACAATTGCTTCAGCTGCTCGTTCACTATTGCATATGCCAAGAAAAAGACTATATATATAAGATTAAAGATAATAAATTTAAATGATTTTATTTTTATAAAAGAAATTTACCCATCAGCATGAAACATAGCTAGAACTGGATGTTTAGCCATAAATTCTACTTGATGTACAAAATTGACGAGAAACTCCTACAGATAAAAATTAAAAATTTTCTATCTAAATAGAAGAACTAACTGAATATCAACAATAGAAAAATAATCATAACTGTGCTATTTTCGAATTTTAATTTTAATTAAATTTTAAGTCATAAATTTCAGTTACATATTAATAAATATGTTTTGATCAATTTCGATTTTATTTCAGAGTAATATTAATAAATCTCGATTGCAGTTATTGTGATACTTTATTAGTTGATAGAGTTCATTAAGTATAAGATCGCTTTAATACCTTCTTTCAATTAACTTCAATAAGTTGAACTCTCACACAAGTGCAACAAGAATATAGAAATGAGAGAAAAAACTAAGATACTTCATTGTATAATTGAATTGTCGACATATTCTCATAACAAACAAAAACAGATGAAATTTTAGTATAAAAACTTTCGAGTAACTCATTACTGATACGTTTTCTTACAAAGAACTACATACCCAATAAATATCTTCTATCAATTGAGAATTACTTCTTTGATCTAAAAATAATAATATTTATTTATAAAAATATCTCGAAAGAGTTTTTAAATCACTTGTTGCTTTGACTAATTCTTGTTCAAGATAAATAGAAACACAGTCATTAGGTCGAACACCTGTTCGATGAATAAAATAACGTTGCATAAAATTTAGAATAGTTCTAACATCAGCTGGTCGAATCTAAACATTCAAATAAAACTATCATGTAACTTTTCTATCCGTTATTTTTTTTTTCTAAATACTTTTGAAAATCGTTGAATATCATCAAGTATAACACGTGTTAATAATTGTGGAATTTGATTATTATGAGCTCCAATACTAAATGGTAACGATTCCAGAAGAATTTGATATACTGGCAATATTTTATTATCAGCTAAATTAAGCTATAATAAATCAAATATAGATTTTTTATTATTTTTGATAAAATTTATATATCATTTATTGTATGGTAATTTACTTGAAGTTTAATTGCAAATTTAAATGAATGTAATAATTGAGCAAATCGAACACGAGTATCAGTTTTTGATGATTGTTCAATTGTAATAGCTGATAATTCAGCATAAAGAAATGTTCGTGATTTACCACCTGATACTGTTTGTAATTGACATGCTTTCCAAGAAAGTGATCGAGGTTCTTCCAATTTATAATAAGGTGATGTTGGAGATAAACTTGGTTCTAAATATAAAAATATAAAAAGATAATTATCTAAATAAATTTTTTTTCAATTCATATACCAATATCAAAAAGTTCTATTAAATTTGGATGTGTTTGCATAAAATCATGTAATAATGAAATGATAATGACTGATATTTTAGCTGTATATTCACCAGGACCTTTTCGTTCATATATTGTCACCGGATTTACACCAGAATGAGGTTGAGCAACAATCATAAATGAACTATAATAGGAAAATAAATATAATTTTTATTTATCAAAGATATTATTATTACGTTCGAAATATTGTTTCTAATTCATTAATATATGTTTGACGAGATTTTGCATCACGAGACATTTGAGTAACAATATATGTTAATTGTTCAGTGGTTCTGAAGAAGAAAAAAGAAATAAAAAATTGTATTAATGATAATCAATCTGTTTTTGTCAATCATAGTTTAGTGCAAGGATTTTTTTCACATGAATAGTGAGAAATAATATAGACATATTCTATCATCATTGTTTCGCTAGTTACAATCGATAGGTACATGATGAACCAAGGGTGAGGATTTCTTTTTGGCATTTACTGATATCTTAATCCTAAATGCAGCTAGTGCTATGAAAAATTAGTTATCAAACGTTAACCAGCATCACTAAACTCAACAGTAATACCATGAGAATGTATGATAAACGATGCTTGAACATGAAATTTTCTTGAAATTTAATTATTTCACAATCTAAATTGAAGCAAAGATATTTTTCTCTTTATTCAATGTTCACTTTAGTTTATCTTTGTTCTGAATTTTCAAATGTTAAAATCTAGATAGAAAATAATGAGAGCCAAAATAAATCCTAACATATATATATATATGTTTTGATAAATATAAAATGAAGTAAAACATACCTATTTTGTAAATAAACCAAATTTTGAGGTTGTTTAGCTTCATCATGACTATGATAAAAAAGACGTCGTATTTCTTGAGCATTTTTTCGATCATTGAATTCCCGTTCACGTTTTCGAAAATCCTAAATATATAAATATATATATATATATGACATAAATCGATAAAAATAACTATACACAAGGATTTTGAACATTTTGATTATCTGCCATTTTATATTGCATCTCAAGTCTTATGTCGGATATAATTGATGTAAAACGTGCTTCATTCTAAAAATATTAAAATCTCTAAGACCATAAGAAAAAAAAACATTTGAATTATTTCTACCTCTTGAATATAGGATATCAATCGATTCAGCATTAAACATTTTTCAACAGATGCATCAATCAATGGTAAACTACAACGTTTATCTTCCAATATTCCAATAAAATTAGTATTTTGTCTTTAATTAGAGAAAAGAAAAGATAGACTTTTTTTTTCTTAAATTTAATTTTTGTTTTACTATACCCTTGCCGATTACGTTTTTCACTATCATCAATAATATCAGAAAAATTTATATCACATACTGATTTTCGAGTTATAAATGTTTGTATACCAATTGTTTTCTCGGAATATTCATTCGTTGCCAAAAAATCATAACAATCAAGAAGACTATATAGTACATTCTAAATTTATTTTATATATATTTTTTTGTAAATTCTAAAAACGAAAATAACTTACCGATTGTGGTGTTGATATTGGTACTTCTGAAAATGATATTTGAATTAATAAATTTGAAATTCATCAATACTCACGTGCTGATGCTGGACGCTTTCTTTTTCCGGTAGTTGTGCTCATTATGAACGAGAGAAAGAAAAGTGAAGATATATATATATATCTAAAAAGAAGTATACTATGATACGAAAATTTTAAATAGTTTAGAAAGACGAGATATTCATCTAATTGAAAAAGGCTTATTGCTCGTGTAACTTCCTAATTGTTTTCTTTTAAAGGATATTTATTTAAGTTTTGTTTCCTCATTGAACATTTCATCATTAACTGTATTGTTCATTGAATTTGTAGTAATAACTGTCGGAAAAAATTATTTGATAATACAAATAATATAATATGATCAACTGATTGTATGTTACTATGTTTTTGAATGTTATTGATAAGTAATTTGAATAAGTTTCTGTTGGTTTCGGATAGATGACAATCATTATTATTTGTTGGTAAATAGAAGATTCTATCCGTTTAAAACGGTAGAAAATAGTTGTGGTAGTTCATCATTAGTCTGTTCTAGTAAGATACGTTGTGGTACTACCAGTTGATCATTTCCATTAACGAGAATAATCGTAGGAAGTATCATGGAATATATTTCAGAATGTACAATGATAAGTTTTATAGTTACAAATATAGCAAAGTAATTTACATCTACATTGAGAACAATGTGATGATGATGAAGCTTATTTTTGTTCCTGTATGAAGCAATAAAGCAAGTTTTTAGAATCACATTAAAAAAATTGTATATATTTGAATATAAGATGAGTTAGAATTAATCATGAAACATGAATAGGATCAGCGTTTCTGACTTGGGTTTTAACTCCAAGGGTAATGCAATCGAGACTATCCTGTGGATTTCTAATAATTCTGAACAATATCTACTTAATTCTTAAATAGCCATTGTCTAATAGACTTCATGCAACAAATGACTCCGTCTAATTCTAATTAATATTATGCATGAAAACAAAATTCACTCAAAAATAATATTATTTGGCTTGAGTTTCGATTTTAGTCAGATAAATCTGTGTTCTAAGGATTGATACCTGAAAGAAAAAGTCTCCCACATCTCCAAATATAACTATCTAAAAATATGATAATATCATACCTGAATTGGGTATGATAGTCGCGTACATAATACATTTTTTTTTCTTCTTACATAGAAAATATATATTAATTAATAAATTCAAATTCTCTTTCTAGTAACATTCCATATCAACGTGTAGTTTTCTTCCGGTGAAGAGAAAGATCCTGAAGCTTTGCCGTCTGAAAGAAAAATTGTTATTATAATTAATTATAATGGAAATTTTTTTATATTACAATAATAAAATTGAACACATAAGGATGTTGTGAAAAAAGATCACTTACCTTTTATTCGCGGTATAATTATCCGACATATATTCAAAACGTAAAGCGTCATATGATACTTGTTTTGATAATTGATAAAACCAATTCAAATGATATTTAATTTATATCAAATATCAATTATTATATGTACGAAGAAAAATTTTATATAATATAAAAATATCTTTATCATTTATAATCTATCATATACGTTACCCATTAGCAAGAAGGTGAATGCATACGGAAATATTTTTCTCTCATATTACCACACTATTCATTGTACCAAATTGAAAGGCATCAACAGATTTTCGATTATGTTTACTTTGTTTTTTTGTAATAATTTATTCATCCATTCGAATAGAATAGACTTCAGAGTGAATGTTTAACTATAAGAACAATTTGAGTGTGTGGGTATGAGCGTCAATGGTTCTTCTCTCTCATCATAGCCAAATTCCAAACCACACATATACACCCCCGTCTATTAACCTAAATAATATTAAAAAATAAATAAATAAATTCGAAATTATTTTCATTTATACTTATGTGTATTGATAAATGAGTTTCTTCTCGTAATTGTTTTGGTGATACTTGATTTTTCGAAGATACCTTGTCAATACGTCACACGTAATTCCGTTTTATTCTCGAGTTAAAGCGTTCTTTTTATAACGACACTGCATACTGCAACGTTGTATAAAGCAAATAAATATAGGAAAAAAAATAAAGAGCAGTGTCTGCAATAGAAGAAAAAGAGTGTCGTGCGTAGTAATTCGTGAGAAAGAACGAATAAAAAAATTGCAAAACACCGTGTACCGTATTCTAAAATAAATAGTCAAAAAAAAAAACTTTCACCATACATCGCATTTCCGAGAAAAGAAAAATAAATTGCGATTCACCGTCGCCATTCGAAGAATATGTCCTCTATATATATTTTTTTCTATGACATCATCCATGTAATTTACAATTTATTCTGCGTCAATAAAACACTTAAGCTGACGTTATATCCCCAACTTTTACTTATATCTGAAATGTGCATTTGGTTTAGAAAAATTCTATTGTAATTTTCTATGATGCTGAAGAAAAAGCGTAACGATGAAAGGATTCTTTATCCACTTAGTTTTAATTAGAGTCTCTTCAAAATGAACTTTTAAGTCTTTGGTTTTTTTAATAATTTTATTTATTTTTTCTAATATTTATTACAAGTCGATACTATTTAACATAGTTAAATAGTTTTAGCTCGCCAACATCGATTTTTGTGTATATGAGTATGCATAGAAGAATGTCTTGATTTTTTTAAGATCATATCACGCCAAAAAGCATGTCTTAATTTTTCATATTGATATACGGGTGGTTGTTGAAGTTTTTTTAAAGCTATTTCATATAATTTATTTCGAAGAAATTGTTCATTAATTTCATTCCAATCATTAATAACTATAATAGGTAAATTTGTATATAATGAATCAAGTGTTGAATGCCAAACAATTGGAATAGCATCAAGATAGAGAGCTTCCCATGTTCGATGACAATCAATTCCATTACCACGAGGTGATAACCATAATGGATATTGACGATTTCGCTTATAGATAGTTGGTAAACTTGAAATATTTACTCCTAAAGGCTTATCAAAACATATAGCAAATGAATATTTTTTTTTATTTCCACAAATATTTTTCCATAATTTTAGACGTAATTTATCTAGTTCCCTGTAAGGATGAAAATTGAGAAGAAGTAATTTATCAGATTGATTATTACTATTTAAAACACTTTGTGTAATATCGAATGGTTGTATATAATGAAGTGGTTCATCAATACTATTATTGACTATCGATGGAAGAGTATAATTGTGATATTGTCGATGAATATTTCGAATACTTTCTGCCATTTCAAAACAATTGATACCTATAAAGGAGATTCAATGCGACAAAGAAACATTCGAAAAACGAACATGTTAATCATGATTTTTCATATATTACATTTAGTCGATCAAAAATATTATTTTGTATCTTTTAGATAAACAATTCATCAAATACTCTTAATCCAGTGACAAATATAAGCAGAATGCCTAATTCGTTATCATCTGTATTACTGTATGATTTTCATGGATTTACATATATCAAAGTCATAACTAATAGAAGATAATTAGATAGATACTCTAATTATTTCTAAAGTTCAGTACTATCTGATTTGTAAGTGATCTGATGACCATCATCTCAAATAGCTACTGAAGAAAAAATTCTAAACAAATTTATTCGATAAAAATCATTATTCATCGTATACGGCAAAAGAATAGATATGAAACAACTTGAGTTTTGAAACGCTTAGAAAGAAGGAACTGAAATTCATTCTTTGGTTCTTGGAAAATATATGTTTTTTTAAAGTACACATAATAAAATAAATTCTATATCATGTTCTTACCAATTGGTATATGAGTAAAGCGTTCACTTTTCGACGGGTTGATATCTCCATTTTGACCAAACCAATGAATAATTTTTGAATTGGATTTTTCAAGATAATCAAGATATTGACTTGGTACTGAATAATCACTTTGTCCAGTAATTAATACAAATTTATTCTGTAGATACGGATAAATTCTTCGGAAAAAGGTAAAAATACCATTAGGTTGAATATAGATAATGCTACCATGTGGAAGATTAGGTACAATCACATAACTATCATTAACAGTATTTTCAATATGTTCATTGGATATATTTTTAGGCCAACTATAAATCCAATCAGCTAAATTTCGGAAATTTTGTGGACAGATAAATTCAGGATAGTGATGAATAAAATATGATGTATTATCGAAAACTATACGATTATCAGTGATTGTGGATGAATATTGGCATAATGGAAAATACAATTGGCTAATTTCGATACGAAACATATAATTAGCAAAATTTCGATAGATAATAACAATCATAGAAATAGACACACATATCATGAATATAATAATTACACGTACAGGATAACGTGTGAATATCATTTCTAGACAAAGATAAAAGAATGTACATTCGGGATAATTAAATAATTTACTGATGAATAATACTAAAAAAGGTACATTTTTCTGTCTTATTGTTATGTTTTAGATCTTTTTTTTTTTATTTTCAATAATATTCTTCTGATTAGCAGGTGAACTAATAGGCTAAGATTTTAATTGTTTTTGTGGAGTTGAGTAGTTTAAGAATGAATTAATGAACATATAAGTCACGTTACTCAAAAAAGAATCAAATTTTATGGAATCTACAAAATTTTAACTACATAATTGTTCTAAAAATTTTCATCACAAAATTATTTTCGTTTATCTTTGAAAGACAAGACAAGAGTTCATATAACTATATATTTAAATAAACAATTTCAATAACAGATGCAAGAAATTTCAAAGAATTTCTTTCTTACTACAAAAAAAGTTAAGATAGTTATAATAATTTCTTTTTGAAGTATTCAAGTATAGCATTTATTTCTTAGTCGAACATTTTTGCTCAATTTCACTAATATAGTAAAAATACTGACCGATAGAATATACCTTTTATATCGATAGTACTATATTCTTAATAATTTTCTTTCTTATAGAAATTTTTATTCTAAACTTAGAAATAATAAATGGCACGAATAAAAATCTTTGATTCAAGCAATTAATATGGTTTGTCTTTGTCACTCTGTTAATGCCATAGTTACTAGCACGAGCGAAAAAAATGCATGCTCTTTGCATCGCTAATGATATAGAGAAAATTTACAGTTAAAAAAGAAGATAGAAATATGTAATGCGACACGTTCAATGATGTTGGTAGCTAGAAAGAGTTGTATGTTCTTCATTATACCATACAGATGTGTTGAAAATTCTTTTTTTTTGAAATATTCACGCAGGTCGATGATGCCATAGGAGACATCTGTAAGTACTCAAGTAAATAGATTAATGAGAAAAAAAAATGTTTGAGTAACTTTAGTCTAAACTGTGAGGTATGTTCAATATATCGTTAAAAAAAGAAGGCTTATTTTAATTATTTTTTGGACACAGTTTCAGTATCTAAACAAATGAAATTTAAATAATATAAACATTTTAATCGAAGTTTTTGATAATGTTAGGATTATCCGTTAACATATTCTCAGTTAGACTTAATTCTCCATTTATATTATACAGTACCTATGTAAAACTACATCATTATAAAATCAATTGAACTAGATAACACATGAGTCGAACTCTTTCGGAAAATACGGATCGAAGACGATTCCAATGTCGATTATCAAGCAAGAGGACATTCATAGAAAACGATTAATTATTTCTGCAATTGAGTAGGTAACGTTATTCTCCAGCAAACATTTCTAGTCTTCTAGAATTAGTGGTCTTCGCTTATCAATATTATCAAGAACGTCATATTTCGATCAACTAATTGAAGTCAAAACAGGATTGAAAAGTAAACTATTCGATATTTGGTACTATGAGAACTCTATTAATATGCGCAACACGAAAATGTATTGTATGTATGGCAAAATGTGACATGATGTACGACACATTCGACTATCACAAGAGCATAAAAACACATTCTATCCAATATACGTGCGTTATTTTGGGTTTTTCAATGGAATCTACTCTCATTGTTTCTTTTATTTTTCATGAAAATAGTAATTATGATTGCTTTTGACTTCTATTAAATTTGATAAAATTCTTATCTTATTTCTCGAGCGCGAAGTGATGAGACCTTAGGATCTGATAGCCTCGATCCGATTCATTTATGTTTGAATCATTGTTAGCCAGCCTCGCAATAACTATCAGACTGGTGGTGTATTCTTGAACGTAAACGAATCTGAAAGCAAGTTTGAAAAAAATATTTGAAAATGGGCTCAAGTTCGTATAAGATGTCTATTGCTTATATATCTCTATTACTAAATGTTTTCTATTTGATATATACTCAAGGATACAATTTTTTAGAATGAGTCATGTCATAGAAAATGGTTCAAATCGATGAAAACTGCCTTCTAAACAACAATGGATAATACAAAAATGATATATTATAATACCAATAACAATAACATTCTTCCACTGTTATTGTTACTTCTCTTCTCTCAGTCATTCCCTTCTATTCTCTATCTATGGTTCTTATGTTGATTTCTTACCTACATAAATTTGTGTTGTATCTAAAACAAACACATTCTGACATACTAATATGTATTTAATTTCAATCTGAATTTAGAAGAGAAAAAAAAAAGGATACTTCATTTCAAACTAGAATGAGGGCCTTGTTGGTCTGTAGAATTGTATCTGCATCCATACCCTACATACTGTGTTTTTTTGAGATGCGGGTCATTCGGATCTACAGAATTTATATAATATTATATACGCTATATGCCTTCCATTCTTTTTGAATGTGGGTCTTGAGTATGAATATGGATGTGTGTCAGTGAAGAGGACACGCACACGCACACTCACACCACACCCTAGACCCACATCCTGTAAAATAAAGGATGCAGAGCGTATATAATATTATTTACATGATCGAGTGTAAGGACAAGCTGTGAGGATATGGTTGAGGGTTCTATGATGATGATGATGAAAGTGTTTCGTTACTTCGTTTGTTTAAATGTTAGACGTTTCTCCCAGAATGTTCTAAGAAACACGTCGTGCTTTTTAGAACCATCACACCCTTGCCGTTTGTGGAAAAAGGACATGATTTTTTTTTCAAAATTTAGTTTTTAATGACAGAGACTATAGGTTGTTCCAATCAGGTAGATATCCGAATCTAATCTAGTCAATATTCATTGATAGAAACACTTGAGAGACTATTCATGAAATGTAATAGGTCATACCGTTTTTACACTTACTGACTTACTTTCTCTCAACTTAGTTTTTCGTTCAAAATCCGAAGTAATAAAGAGAACATAACTTATATGAATAATTCAAGCTAAACAAAAAAAAACCAATCTGAAAATATCAATGGATTGATTAATAAAAGGTGTATTTAGAAGCAGCATTTTCGACTGACGAATATTAACTCATATTTCACATATATTAGAATAGGAACCATGTGTTAAATATGATGTGATAGAAGATCATACTATAATTTTCTCATGATGATAAAGAGAAATCGAAAGGAAAAGTTATGATTGGTATGTATGGCGCTGAATATTACGAAGACACTGCTCGTTACTGCTTACTATCATACAAGAGTTGTAAGTGGCAACCCAGGTCGTTCATGCCCGGCCGTAAACGGCCGTACACCAATCATTTACGGCGAAAAACGACAGCAATTTACAGTGACTGTTTACGACAGTCATATACGATGTTTTACGGCGTATTACGTTAATCGTAAACAATGACCGTAAACGTTCGCCCTTTACGACAACCGTAAAAATACGGCGACAGTAAACGACGCTTGGATAAATCGTAAGATATCGCAAACGGCAGTCGTTTACAGTGACCGTTTACGGCAATCATATACGATGCTTTACAGTGTGTTACGCTCATCGTAACCAATGACCGTAAACGTTAGCCGTTTACGATTACTGTAATAATACGGCGACTGTAAACGACACTCGGATTATACCATAAGATATTGTGAGTGCCAGCTGTAAACGGTGTGATCTAAGATCATTGTTTTTTTATTGTAGTGTCCTTCCACAGTCATTAACGACGACGAACTACTTTTCTTAGATATAGTGGCAAAATCAGAACTGCGCTACTAGAAGAACCGAGCTTCGAAGCACTTTTTTCAAATCTATCAAAAATACTACAAATTTTCATAAAAGAATCTGAGGTCGACACCGTCCCTTGCCTTGTAAAATTCTCTTCACATATACATTCTATAGATTTTTATCAATAAATCAACAAATTATCAATTGTTAATTTCGGATTTCGTTTAAAAAATTTTCTGTCCACATGAAGATTATTCTATGGTTTTGTATTAAGTGTGGAAAATGATCACTCTAGAAACAGTATGCTGAATATTGTTGTATTGGGTCTCTCAATCGAGACAGATTTGTGTAAGATTGGAACTGAAATGTTTAATTAGCAGTATCTCTTGAATACACTGGTAAAAAAGACTGCGAAAGTGGATTTTGGTTTGCTCAGTGCACATCAGCTAGACATAATTTTTCTCAAGATCTAATTTGATAAATTCTCCTGTCTGAAATTGAATTTGCAGGGTAAACTGCACGTACATGAACTGAACTATAATACCAAAGATCTAAGAAATCCAAGTTGTTCTATGTGAAACTCATGTAAAATAATTTTGACGAAAAGTCAGATTAAAACCGATTTTTCGATTAATAATCGAATTTTAATAGATTATAATGACATTATTTTTTATTTGATTTTAATATGATATCTGAAACTAAATGATGGATTGCATTTCATAATAATTATTTTTAATTTATTTTAATCGATTGTTAAAATTGTATAAATGACTATTCGATTGTTAATCAAAAACTCGATTTTAATCTGACTTTTCGTCAAAACCTTTTATATGGTTACAATAAGTGGCTAATAATAGATATAATCACAGTAACAGACATGAGATCCTATTTGTGTTACTATTTGATTCAACAGATTTCTTTCTAGATACGATCAAATTGTCAATAAAGGCATTTCATTTACGCAACTTAAATTTACTCAAACCATTTTAAACTCGAGACTAAATAATTCTTTAAGTTAACATACTTTCTCATAAGATTTGACTCTTTTTTTAACATAGCTAAAGTTAGCACCAGATTCACGTTTTTCTGGTCCGGATTCGCCTGCAGAGCTGTGCTGGTTCCATAAATGATTGTATTAGGTGCAGAATTTAATTCTCCATCGTATGGCACCATTTTTGAAGGGGTTATCGGGTGAAAATAGGGGTCTTCTTCAACAATACTGATATTACCCACCCAGGGTAATTTCACAATGAGGGT